ATAATCTCTGACCAATACGACATATATCAGCATTGTATATTGTTTTCAGTTGTGCTACACAAACTCCTTAATAAAAAAAAAAACCTTCAAATTTTCATCAGTTTTACCCATTCATTTAAGCAGCGTTTCAATAATAACTGTAACTGCTATTCACCTGTCAATAAATATAATTTTTCCTCAGCAAAGCATTGTTTTAAAAGTAACACTATCTCAAGAAGATGCAGCACAATATATCACACATATTTTAGATCAACACAAAAAAAATCTACTAATAAAATTGAATATTTACTCCAACAGTATATTACAGCTTATTTTCCATTTGCCAAATGTTCATACTGTTCCAATACTCAGTTCTGTAGTTTTATATTTCCATCAGTTTTTATGACATTATAGATATATGTATACAAGATGCTGCTAAATCTGCTCGCAAATCAGAAAAAGTTGTAAAGGGCTATTTCAGTTTTTTGTTATTTGGACAAACTCAGACCATTTAAAATCTTTAACACTTGGAAACAAGACAGGATTAGCGTAGATTAAATACAGATCCTACAAATCAGTTTGGAATCAGCAAAACATTCATTTCACAAAATCTAAAAAGGAATTTTAATCACGTGTTTAGCATCTAAATCAAATCTAGTTAAAACCAAAATATTTATGAGTTGCATAATCTGTTGTGAAGTGGCAAAGCAGAGGTAAAGATAGAAATATCTAGAAAACCCCAATTTTTTGTAAAATTCATATTTCTTTCTCCCTTTAGTTTAATTGGAAAAAAAGTAAAACTGCAAAATCTTTTATTGAATAAAAACTTTTATTTTCTTCATACCCATCTAACTTAGCCACACTTGGGAAAATACAAAACCAATTCCATAATTTTCAGGGCCGTGTAAGGAAGTAATGTTCCAAAGATCCCCCATCTGGCATGTGTGTTTCTGATATGTTTTTGTTTTAAAAGTGTTGCCTACCCAGTGGATTGTCCTTGAGAAGTATTTCCAGTGATTTTTTCTCCTCCACTCCTCTGAAACCCACTTTTTCATAATACGCAGAACGAAAGTTTCTCTGAGGGTCATCAGCCATGATGTAACCTGTACAATCAGATCCAAAAGCAGACATTTTTAGTAGTTCTGTTTACAATTTACAGTGACCACAATTCACAGTTTTTAGATTATTGTGTAGCGTAACAATACGTATGAGTGGTTCATTGGAAAGAGCATTGTTAGAGCAAAAATTGAAATCACTTTTATTATATTTTTGCTATAACATAAAACAGTTATCAAACTTCTTTTCCTTATAATTACACAGAAATCTCAAAATCAATCAGCAACGGATCAGAATCTGCCAATATTTCCTTGGCTCTAATATTTTATTGGCTCATTACTAAAAAAATTGATTTCCCTCCAATTGTTTCATTATACAAAAAATAAATAAGTCCTTGATTTACAAACACATACTTTAAATGCCCAGTCAGGATTTCACTAAAATTCAAATAAAGATCAGCGACATTTGACTTGTAGGTAGTCAAATGTCGCTAGGTAGAATCTTGTAATTCTTTAATTTTCAGTTGTTTTTTTATTGCAAAGAAACCTGGACCACATTGTTTCTCTTTTATGACTGGTGTCTGACTTGAAATCATTTTATCAAACTAACTATCCAACTGGTAATTAAGTAAATAAATAAATGAGACAGAAAATGATGAAAGTCTCTTTTGTAGGGTGTGGTTCTCCACAAACACAAACCTGCAGTCTCAACTATGCATCAGAACGTCTTCAGAGAAAGGAAACTGCAGCTGTGAGTATTACAGCTGAAATAACAGTGTTCTCCATCATAAAGCACGTTAAGGTGGGAGGCTTATTTGGAGTGAAGAAGGCTTTGAGGTGTCAAGAAGGGGCCAGAAAGCAAAAGCACTGTATAATACTGAGGAAGGTACAGTAGTGTTGCAGTGCAGAACTTGCTCAACACTGGGACCCAATTTTCAAGTGGGTGCATCAATATGCACAATTAAGAACAAAACTAATGGCCTTTTCAAACTGAACAATCAATACAATATTTGATGACAATCTGTGGTTTTTCCAACAGAAATCGTTGAACCTGTGGTCCGCAAACTCACCGAAACTTACGGAAACTCTGCCGATAAGATAATGAATGTCTTGATGTGCAAGGGCAACGAGAAACAATATGTAAAAACTACGTGACATGACAACATAATCGTCTCACCTTGGTGTACTTCACCTCCTCTCCAGTTTGTTGTTATCCTCAGTCCAACATTCGTTGTTTCTGGCTGTGGAGACCGAAAGCTTGAACACGTCACTTTTAAAACTCGAAATTTTAAATATCTTGGTTTTATTCCCTGATGTTCACATTATCTGTTAGGCTACTGAATTAGATTCAACTGGAAGTTGTTGCTTCAGATGCTAAAGTGAAAATTACCATAAGCCACTGCCGTATAGAATACAACTTCCGGGTACTACTATCAAAATAAAATCCTCAAGCGACTTGTTTATGTTTAATCAATATCGCTAAATTTCTATTTTAAATTAAAAGACACTTAAATATAAATACATACATTTTATCCAGCCTGCGAGCTAAATTTAGCTTTTAGCTTTTTGTTTTTATCTCACAAATAGCTTTTATTTAGAAGGTCTGTGACGAAATTGAAGAGGCAGGTCTCGGTTAGATATGATGCATTTAATTTGTATCGGATATTCAAAATCTGGGGTAGAAAATATCTAGCAACTTCGATGCTAGATGTTTACAATCAGTACTACAATTACTCCTTTCACTAACGAGAAAAAATATTTTTTTAGATGTTCCTATTTTATATAAAGAACAACTTGTGTACAGTTCCCTAACTTTTTTTCTTCCTTCTTTCTTTCAAACAAAAAAGGGCTAATTTGATTACGTTCTAGTCAATTTGAGTATGCCCAAGAGTTTCTGAAATGTACAAATTACTAGGGCACAGAAGATGTCTTCAGGTAAGTGGTCCCAGTAAAGTTATCTATAACACCTCAACTGCGTAATTTAACAAGATGCTGAGGAGGTGCCACTACTTCAACCAGGTATGCATGCAGCTGTCTCTCTATGCGGGGCAAGCAAGTACAGATTTTGAACACACCAAGCATGCAGTGAGTGGACTATGATTATACAAATGTTCGTAAGAGAAATTTAAGACAGAGAGGTCAAGTTTAGATCTGAGTGCATTGTGAGTTAAAGTTGGTAGAACTACTGTATTTTGCTGTTTATTTACATTTGTGATTTAAAATGGACTCGTGATGCAGTGGTGCCTTCACCAGGATGTACCTCATTTCTTGCAACCGTGGCTCGCATAAAACGTGTTTGTGAAAAACACAACTAACTTTATAACTTTATAGTAGGTTAAATAGAGTAGAACTAATTATAGCTTTTAATGAATATGTTGGATGATGTTTCATAACTTGTAATGTCTTCACAGCTAATTCACAACTGTCTGTGCCACAATATGTACATACTGTATAACGTTGCAATTTGCACATTTGTGCATGAACTATGCACAAATGTAACTAAAGTTCAAAATTAAATAATACAAAATAAAACCACAGTTAGCCACTCAGCAAAACATCTGCAGTAAAGCTAACATTACAAGATGGTCATTAATGTGGATGCAATATGAAATTGTTCTGGTTCAGTCATGTTTGCTTTGTCACACAATGGGATGTTTGACTGAAAGAGACTTTTAAAGGTGCTTTAAGCATTTATTTAACATGTACTCTTTAACTAAGCAGGAGGAGGAGCTTCAGAAGAAAATTTGTGATGTCATGTTTTGAAATGTAAAATGCATTATTTAGTACTGCCCATGCTCACCTACCTGTCCAGGTACCCACCACTGAACAAACATGACCTTTGAACTCTCTTCCTGTCCACAGGAACGAGTGACTTTAATTGTTCCTGATCACATGGCAGCTTCAAAGATTATGTACTGCATCACACTCTTCAAAAGGGAGGATTTTTTGGACATTCGGCTATGATGGCATGTAACAGACTTAAAGTTGGTATGACTATTGATTCAACATAATGCAGAAATTGATAAATAGATGAAGAATTCATCTTAAGAAAATTCTTTCAGTCAGAAGCTATCAAGACATTCCTTCCTTGGAAAGTTGTTTTAGTTTTGCATTGTGACATGGTGTTTGGAATACATAATAGGTTTAACAATTCATCTAAAATAATTGTGAAATTTTAGAGCTTATTGACCTGACAAAACTTTTCAATACAATTTGTATTCTTTAAGCACAAATTGCATCTCACACTTCTCCTGTTGCTGCATGAAGAGTAAACAACAGATTATGTTGTACCCAAAATCTAAATTAGTTAAAACTAATTAGCACACTCCAATTTCCTCATGAAATAAATCTGGATTCAATGAATTCACAAACCATTCAGAACTATGACATTGATTTGTTGGTGATTACTTGAAGTAGTTTTAGCTTAATTCTTTAATCTTTTTCTCAGTAGTTTTAGTTGAGTGTGTTACTTGCTTAGTGAGTTGGTTGAATAAAATGTTTCAATTGTGAAGTTGACATTATTTTTTAATAAACATTTGTATAATTGAGAGAAGTTGTCCATATTTAGTCCATATCTATGTGTGGCATCCTGCTGCACAGATAACATCAGTTCTAGACTTACGCCTTCAGCTATTATTATTTTAAAATCATTCTAGCCCTTATTGGGCAAGATAATAACTGAGACTGAATTCTTTGACTACATACTTAAACTTTTTTTTCTATAATGAGAAACGGTGCTTGGACTAAGTGATTTTTAAAAATTTAATTACTAGTTTTATTATTAGTTACAATAAGCAGTTTTAATAATTATTCACAGCCAAAGTTGTCTCTTTCTAAAGCACAACATTCTTTTTCTGATATTGGCTTAAGCGTACTGTATGTGCTTGGGTTTTAGTTTTTTACTTTAATAAAAAGTTTTGAATGTTCCAATAAAACTGAGGAACAAGCAGTAAATTACACAAAAAATAAGAGAATACACATGTCTTTAATGTGTTGAGTTATTGTTTAAGAAGAATCATGCACAAAAATGGTTTTAAATCCACAAGAGTACAAACTCTTCTTTAATAAATGATGGTAACAAATTAAACAGCGCATATAGTGCTAATCAGGAAACAGAATCCTTAAAAAAAAAGCAAAAAACAAAACCATTAAACCAATAATGTCAACAAACATATACCCCATAAAACAAACATAGATCATATTTTGATAATTCATGAAACAAAAGCTGATTATAGGAATTATTCAAAATGAAAGGCTATCCATATAACATGAAACTTTGGAAAATTATATTTTTGGAACAGACCATGCAAAAACAAATATGGCAATAATTTTAAGAATTATTTTGAGGATACCAATAGTCGCCATAACACATTTATTTCCTCTCAAAATACCTTATGGTGGTTAATAATACTTTTGTTGATTGTCACAAATCTGTTCTTTAAGTGTTCTTCATATCTTTTACTTGAAATGCCAAAGGCAAATTAAATCCAAATGCAAAATAAAGAACTAAAAACATTTCTACTGGACAGAAAGAAAATATTTAGTAAATTCCCACATACTGACAATATTGTAAAAACGATGATTTAATTTGCAAGAAAAGTGGATGAATGTAAAGATCTTTGCATTTTATGGATTTATCTGGTAGAGGAAAAGCTGGTAAAGCTAGTAAAATTATATTGTGTTAATGATGAACCCAGATCCAAACTGCTTCTGCGGGAGCCCCTTTGTGAACCACTTCTGGATCCTGTCTTGGATCCCGGGGCTGAAGCAATGTTGTATGGACTGCTGATACCTCTAGAAGATACAGATGAGGCCTGAAGCATTTTCACCCCAGTACCCTCTTCAACTAGGCAGTTATCAAGTACTTCTTTGTAAGAAATTCTAAGTTTGCTTTTGGGACATGTCAAATTTTTTGTGTGGTTTTTGACATCCAGGAGCTTTTGTGCCGTTCTTGAATCCAGCCAACCCATTTTCAAAGCATCCTCAATGCTTCTTCTACAGCCCTTTTCGGGGTCATAAAGCCCCCCTGTTGCAACCTGGAACTCCAGAAATCTCTGCCCCGCCTCATATGGTAGCCACATTTCCTTTATGGCCAGAGCAGCAGACAACTTCCTTTTGGTTTTTATATCCTCAAAACCAAAATAGGCTTTCTGGGCAGGTTTTAGTTTAGTCACCATGTCATTAGCTATTAAACCTATTTGGGAAGCCTCTTGTATGCTGACCCGCTTGCCATCTGTGGGATTCACAATTCCTCCAGTGCAAGCTTGGGCCTCAAGCAATCTCTGGGCTGTGATAGAATCTACTAGACCCCGATTTAAAGCCTCTGTGATAGAAACTTTCTCTACTGCCTCTGTGTCAAAAACGGCTCCTACAGGCTCCACCTCGCCAACTGGTTCAAGAGGAGAGGACAGAGTGATCGATATATGGGATCCCTGCTTCATGGAGTCTGAACATTTTTCAGCAACAATGGTGGATGATGAGCTTTTCTCTATGATTGTGGTAGTTTTTGTTGTAGTTGTTTTGGTGAATGTAGGAGATAACGGTCTTGATACAACAGTTGATGAAGAAAAGGATGAGGAAGATGATGTAATTGATGGAACAGGGACTACTGATGTTTTTGAGTTTGATGATGTTACTGAAGATGAGCTTAAAGAAGCTGAAGTTCCTGAAGTGGATAGCATCGACGACAATGATGACGATGTAACTGATGATCTTCCTGATGGTTCTGGGATTACGTTTGATGATGATACTGATGATGATGAAGCTGATTTGTGTGTAGCCTGATTACTGATGATGTCTGCAAATTCAGTGATGGTGATAGCTTGTGAACGATACTGCTCCACGACAGACTGATCAATGACTCGCTTTTCGAGCAGGTCAGTGACGTCATATTTTTTTCCAGTTGACCTGTCATTGATAGCAAACCGGATGGAACCATCTGGAGCAGTGATAGTGATCTCTTCCCACTCACATTCTTGTTCTGACAGCTCCAGGTAGGTGTCATAGTCAATATACCCTTTGTTGTATGCTTCACGTACTGTCATCTCTTTATCAGTCTCTGGATCCACAATTATCACTCTCCTCTTTCTTACAGTGTTCTTTTTGCTTGATTCCTGTTTCTTCTTGTCTTTGATTGGCAACAAAATAAGCCCAGTGTTCTTATCTGAGATACAATGTTTTTTAAGTTCCAGATACGTCAGGTTTTTCTCAGTGTTGGGATCAAAGAAACCTTTAGTGTCATCACTTTCATCAGTCAAGATCTTATTCATTTCTTCATTAAAATAGCCTCTTTGATATGCAACATTCACATCAATACGATGGCTGTGTTTGGGATCAATGATGCCTCCACTGGCAATCTGGGCCTCCAGAAGACGAATGCCATGACCCTTCTCCACTAGACCATTCTCTATGGCCTGAAAGAGGGAGACTATCTCACCTGTTACAGGCATTTTGTAACCGGTAACAGCCTTTTCTGCTGAAAGCAGTTTTTCCTTAAACTCTGGTCCAAAAAGCTTTCTATTGTAGGCTTCAGCAACAGTCAGAAAGAGATTATTGACAGGATCAATCATAAAACCTGATGCAGCTTGGGCTTCAAGTAGTTCTAGAGTAGTGCCAGGTCGCAGAAGTCCATTCTTCATAGCTTGATAGATTGATAGTACTTTATTACTGGCTTCATCATAAACTCCTGCTATACAAGTAGAACCTCCCAAGTATGACCTAAGTTGATCCTCAATAGCTTTGGTTGTAAGCTTACCTGCGTTCAGCTGGTCCACATCTGATTTGCTTAGCAACTTTGCATCAACCAGGTCTGTGACAGACACTTCGCGTCGAAGTCCCCTTATAGTTAATTGTGTAGGTTTAGGAAGAAGCAAAAGTCCAGTGCTGGGATCAGATTTGCATTTTGTCTTCAGTGATGCATATGTTGTTGGTTGTTGAGTATCAGGGTCTAGATAGTACTTGGGAGACTTATTCAGTGCCTGATAGAGGTCCTCATCAATAAGACCCTGTTTCATTGCAATGTCTTTAGGTAGGAAAACACTGACAATAGGGTCCAAAATTCCACCAACAGAGTCCTGAGCCTGAAGGATCCGTAGTGCAGTGTCTTTGTTAATTATTCCCTTTCTCATGGCTTGGCCAGCTGACAGAAATTTGGCATTAACTGGATCTCGATACCCAATAGCAGCAGTTTCAGCTGAAAACAATATTGATTCATCTTCTTTGTCGACTAGATCTCTGGCACATGCTTCTTTTACTGTATATTTCTTATTTGTCCTGGGGTCAATGATGTTACCTGTAGCTGCCTGGGCAAGAAGAAGTTTGTTAGCACTGTCAGCTGATATGATTTTCTGTTTTTTTGCTTCTGTGAAGGACATTTTTCCAAGAGGCCCAGCAGATACACCAGCAATTAAGCCTGTCCCTTTTAAAAACATTTTAATATCTATAGAAACCTCTGAAACAGTTCTCTTCCCTTTCATTAGTTGGTCAAATGTTTGTTTGTCCAGAACTCCACAATCTAGGAGCTGCTGTGCTGTGACTGTTTTGTGTACACCATCAAACAATAATTTGGAGGGGTCTAGCTTCCCTGACACTGGCAAAATATATAAACCAGTGTGAGTGTTTGTGTTACATTTTGCCTGCAGAGCCCCATAGGTGACATTGTGTTCAGTTTCTGGGTCAAGATAACAAGGAGGATTCTGTTTAAGGGCATGAATGAGTTTTTCATCTAACAGATTTCGCTTTAAAGCTACATCTTTTGGTAGAAATACACTAAGATCGGGGTCTAAAATTCCTCCAACTGATTCTTGGGCCTGTAAAAGATTTAGGCCAGTTGTCTCATCAATTAAACCTTTTTTCATGGCCTCAAACAATGACATTAACTTTCCTGAAATAGGATCTTTAAAGCCTGTGGCAGCACTTTCAGCTGCTAACAGCCTATTTTGGTCTTTAAAATCCACCACTCCTCGGATACATGCGACCTCTACAGTCAATTTCTGCTCTGTTTTAGGGTCGATGATGTGACCTGTGGCAGCCTGGGCCTCTAACAGTAAATTTGCACTGTCTTCTGACATGATCTTCAGTTTCTTAGCCTCTGCAAAAGAAATGTTGCCTTGACTGCTATGACTTACACCAGCAATAGGACCAGTCCCTTTAAGATTAACCTTCTTATCTGCAGATACCTCTGGGATAGTTTTCTCTCCGTTGAGCAACATGTTAAATGTTGATTGATCAAGAACACCACAATCCAACAACTGCTGTGCTGAAACTGGCTTGCGAATGCCATCAAACATCAGTTTGGAGGGATCTTTCTTCTCAGCAAGAGAAAGAAGCATCAAACCAGTTCGAGGCTCTGTTGGGCATTTTTTCTTCAAAGACCCATAGCTTGCAGTACGCTCTGTTTCTGGGTCAATGTAACACTCAGGATTCTGTTTAAGTGCACAAACAAGGTCTTGATCCAAAAGGTTGCGTTTCAGAGCAGTTTCAATGGGGAGGAAAACACTGAGATTTGGATCAAGAATACCCCCAGCAGATTCCTGGGCCTGCAACAAACGCACTCCGGTCTTTTTGTCAATTAATGCCTTCTTCATTGCCTCAAACACTGATAGAGATTTTCCAGTGTGAGGATCCTTATATCCAATTGCAGCAGCTTCAGCTGCTAAGAGTTTGTCTCGAACACTTCTGTCCACCACTCCCCTTGAACAAGCCTCTTCTACTGTCAATTTCTGATTGGTCATTGGGTCAATGATGTGACCTGTGGCAGCCTGGGCTTCCAGCAACAAGTCTGCACTTTCTGGAGGCATCAGCATCTTTTTCTTGGCATCTGAAATGGACATTTTCCCTAAAGATCCGACTGTGACACCAGCAATAGACGCTGTTCCTTTTAGAAATAGTTTCTTTTCTACAGAAATCTCTGAGACAGTTTTCTCTCCTTTAATTAACTTGTTAAATGTTGGCGTGTCAAGAACGCCACATTCCAATAATTGCTGTGAAGAGACTGGCTTGCGTAAGCCATCAAACATCAGTTTGGAGGGATCTTTCTTCTCAGCAAATTCCAGAAGCATCAGACCAGTTTGAGGCTCTATTGTGCCTTTTTTCTTTAAAGACCCATAACTTGCACAACACTCTGTTTCTGGGTCAATATAGCACTCAGGGTTCTGTTTAAGTGCTTGAAGTAGGTCTTCATCCAGAATGTTACGCTTCAGAGCAGTTTCTCTTGGTAGGAAAATACTGAGATTCGGATCAAGAATTCCTCCTACAGATTCCTGGGCCTGCAGTAATCGAACCCCAGTCTCTTTGTCAGTTAATCCCTTCTGTATTGCCTCACAGACAGATAGAGATTGTCCAGTGTGAGGATCCCTATAGCCAACAGCAGCAGCTTCTGCTGCTAAAAGTTTATCTCGATCACTTCTTTCCACCACTCCCCTTGCACTAGCTTCTTCTGCTGTCAATTTCTGATTGGATTTTATGTCAGTGATGTGACCAGTGGCAGCCTGGGCCTCCAAAAGAAACATTGCACACTTTGGGGGCATTAGCATCTTTTTCCTGGCATCTGAAATTGACATTTTTCCAAAAGATCCAATTTTGACACCAGCAATAGATCCTGTTCCTTTAAGAAATATCTTTTTATCTACGGAAACTTCTGAGACGGTTTTCTCCCCTTTGATCAACTTGTTAAATGTTGGTTTGTCAAGAACACCACATTCTAATAATTGCTGTGCAGAGACTGGCTTGCGAACGCCCTCAAACATCAGTTTGGATCTTTCCTCTCAGTTAGTGGCAGAAGCAGCAAATTAGTTTTGGCTCTGTTTTACATTTTGTCTTTAAATCACTGTAAGCAGCATCTCTCTCTGTGTCTGGATCAATGTAATGCTTTGGATTCAAGCTAAGAGCACGACAGAGGTCTTCATCCAAAAGGTTGCGTGTCTTTGCTGTGTCTTTTGATAGGTAAACACTGAGATTTGGATCAAGAATACCACCCGCAATTTCCTGGGCCTGCAACAAACGCACTCCTGTCTTTTTGTCAATTAATGCCTTCTTCATTGCCTCAAACACTGACAGAGATTTCCCAGTGTGAGGATCCTTATATCCAAGTGCAGCAGCTTCAGCTGCTAATAGTTTGTCTCGAATACTTCTGTCCACCACTCCCCTTGAACAAGCCTCTTCTACTGTCAATTTCTGATTGGTCATTGGGTCAATGATGTGACCTGTGGCAGCCTGGGCTTCCAGAAGCAAATCTGCACTCTCTGGGGCCATTAGCATCCGTTTCTTTGCCTCTGAAATGGACATTTTTTCAGAGGATCCAACTTTGACACCAGCAATGCATCCGTTTCCTTTCAGAGATAGCTTTTTATCTACGGAAACTTCTGAGACGGTTTTCTCCCCTTTGATCAACTTGTTAAATGTTGGCTTGTCAAGAACACCACATTCTAATAATTGCTGTGCAGAGACTGGCTTGCGAACGCCCTCAAACATCAGTTTGGATGGATCTTTCCTTTCAGTTAGTGGCAGAAGCAGCAAATTAGTTTGTGGCTCTGTTTTACATTTTGTCTTTAAATCACTGTAAGCAGCATCTCTCTCTGTGTCTGGATCAATGTAATGCTTTGGATTCAAGCTAAGAGCACGACAGAGGTCTTCATCCAAAAGGTTGCGTGTCTTTGCTGTGTCTTTTGATAGGTAAACACTGAGATTTGGATCAAGAATACCACCCGCAGATTCCTGGGCCTGCAACAAACGCACTCCTGTCTTTTTGTCAATTAATGCCTTCTTCATTGCCTCAAACACTGACAGAGATTTCCCAGTGTGAGGATCCTTATATCCAAGTGCAGCAGCTTCAGCTCCTAAGAGTTTGTCTCGAATACTTCTGTCCACCACTCCCCTTGAACAAGCCTCTTCTACTGTCAATTTCTGATTGGTCATTGGGTCAATGATGTGACCTGTGGCAGCCTGGGCTTCCAGAAGCAAATCTGCACTCTCTGGGGACATAAGCATCCGTTTCTTTGCCTCTGAAATGGACATTTTTTCAGAGGATCCAACTTTGACACCAGCAATGCATCCGTTTCCTTTCAGAGATAGCTTTTTATCTACGGAAACTTCTGAGACGGTTTTCTCCCCTTTGATCAACTTGTTAAATGTTGGTTTGTCAAGAACACCACATTCTAATAATTGCTGTGCAGAGACTGGCTTGCGAACGCCCTCAAATATCAGTTTGGATGGATCTTTCCTTTCAGTTAGTGGCAGAAGCAGCAAATTAGTTTGTGGCTCTGTTTTACATTTTGTCTTTAAATCACTGTAAGCAGCATCTCTCTCTGTGTCTGGATCAATGTAATGCTTTGGATTCAAGCTAAGTGCACGACAGAGGTCTTCATCCAAAAGGTTGCGCGTCTTTGCTGTGTCTTTTGGCAGGTAAACACTGAGATTTGGATCAAGAATACCACCCGCAGATTCCTGGGCCTGCAACAAACGCACTCCTGTCTTTTTGTCAATTAATGCCTTCTTCATTGCCTCAAACACTGACAGAGATTTCCCAGTGTGAGGATCCTTATATCCAACTGCAGCAGCTTCAGCTGCTAGGAGTTTGTCTCGAATACTTCTGTCCACCACTCCCCTTGAACAAGCCTCTTCTACTGTCAATTTCTGATTGGTAATTGGGTCAATGATGTGACCTGTGGCAGCCTGGGCTTCCAGAAGCAAATCTGCACTCTCTGGGGCCATTAGCATCCGTTTCTTTGCCTCTGAAATGGACATTTTTTCAGAGGATCCAACTTTGACACCAGCAATGGATCCTGTTCCTTTTAGAGATATCTTTTTATCTACAGAAACTTCTGAGACGGTTTTCTCCCCTTTGATCAACTTGTTAAATGTTGGTTTGTCAAGAACACCACATTCTAATAATTGCTGTGCAGAGACTGGCTTGCGAACGCCCTCAAACATCAGTTTGGATGGATCTTTCCTTTCAGTTAGTGGCAGAAGCAGCAAATTAGTTTGTGGCTCTGTTTTACATTTTGTCTTTAAATCACTGTAAGCAGCATCTCTCTCTGTGTCTGGATCAATGTAATGCTTTGGATTCAAGCTAAGTGCACGACAGAGGTCTTCATCCAAAAGGTTGCGCGTCTTTGCTGTGTCTTTTGGCAGGTAAACACTGAGATTTGGATCCAGAATACCACCCGCAGATTCCTGGGCCTGCAACAAACGCACTCCTGTCTTTTTGTCAATTAATGCCTTCTTCATTGCCTCAAACACTGACAGAGATTTCCCAGTGTGAGGATCCTTATATCCAACTGCAGCAGCTTCAGCTGCTAGGAGTTTGTCTCGAATACTTCTGTCCACCACTCCCCTTGAACAAGCCTCTTCTACTGTCAATTTCTGATTGGTAATTGGGTCAATGATGTGACCTGTGGCAGCCTGAGCTGCCAGAAGCAAATCTGCACTCTCTGGGGCCACTAGCATCTGTTTCTTTGCCTCTGAAATGGACATTTTTTCAGAGGATCCAACTTTGACACCAGCAATGCATCCGTTTCCTTTCAGAGATAGCTTTTTATCTACGGAAACTTCTGAGACGGTTTTCTCCCCTTTGATCAACTTGTGAAATGTTGGTTTGTCAAGAACACCACATTCTAATAATTGCTGTGCAGAGACTGGCTTGCGAACGCCCTCAAATATCAGTTTGGATGGATCTTTCCTTTCAGTTAGTGGTAGAAGCAGCAAATTAGTTTGTGGCTCTGTTTTACATTTTGTCTTTAAATCACTGTAAGCAGCATCTCCCTCTGTGTCTGGATCAATGTAATGCTTTGGATTCAAGCTAAGTGCACGACAGAGGTCTTCATCCAAAAGGTTGCGCGTCTTTGCTGTGTCTTTTGGCAGGTAAACACTGAGATTTGGATCAAGAATACCACCCGCAGATTCCTGGGCCTGCAACAAACGCACTCCTGTCTTTTTGTCAATTAATGCCTTCTTCATTGCCTCAAACACTGACAGAGATTTCCCAGTGTGAGGATCCTTATATCCAACTGCAGCAGCTTCAGCTGCTAGGAGTTTGTCTCGAATACTTCTGTCCACCACTCCCCTTGAACAAGCCTCTTCTACTGTCAATTTCTGATTGGTAATTGGGTCAATGATGTGACCTGTGGCAGCCTGAGCTTCCAGAAGCAAATCTGCACTCTCTGGGGCCACTAGCATCTGTTTCTTTGCCTCTGAAATGGACATTTTTTCAGAGGATCCAACTTTGACACCAGCAATGCATCCGTTTCCTTTCAGAGATAGCTTTTTATCTACGGAAACTTCTGAGACGGTTTTCTCCCCTTTGATCAACTTGTTAAATGTTGGTTTGTCAAGAACACCACATTCTAATAATTGCTGTGCAGAGACTGGCTTGCGAACGCCCTCAAATATCAGTTTGGATGGATCTTTCCTTTCAGTTAGTGACAGAAGCAGCAAATTAGTTTGTGGCTCTGTTTTACATTTTGTCTTTAAATCACTGTAAGCAGCATCTCTCTCTGTGTCTGGATCAATGTAATGCTTTGGATTCAAGCTAAGTGCACGACAGAGGTCTTCATCCAAAAGGTTGCGCGTCTTTGCTGTGTCTTTTGGCAGGTAAACACTGAGATTTGGATCAAGAATACCACCCGCAGATTCCTGGGCCTGCAACAAACGCACTCCTGTCTTTTGTCAATTAATGCCTTCTTCATTGCCTCAAACACTGACAGAGATTTCCCAGTGTGAGGATCCTTATATCCAACTGCAGCAGCTTCAGCTGCTAGGATTTGTCTCGAATACTTCTGTCCACCACTCCCCTTGAACAAGCCTCTTCTACTGTCAATTTCTGATTGGTAATTGGGTCAATGATGTGACCTGTGGCAGCCTGAGCTTCCAGAAGCAAATCTGCACTCTCTGGCCACTAGCATCTGTTTCTTTGCCTCTGAAATGGACATTTTTTCAGAGGATCCAACTTTGACACCAGCAATGCATCCGTTTCCTTTCAGAGATAGCTTTTTTATCTACGGAAACTTCTGAGACGGTTTTCTCCCCTTTGATCAACTTGTTAAATGTTGGTTTGTCAAGAACACCACATTCTAATAATTGCTGTGCAGAGACTGGCTTGCGAACGCCCTCAAATATCAGTTTGGATGGATCTTTCCTTTCAGTTAGTGGCAGAAGCAGCAAATTAGTTTGGGCTCTGTTTTACATTTTGTCTTTAAATCACTGTAAGCAGCATCTCTCTCTGTGTCTGGATCAATGTAATGCTTTGGATTCAAGCTAAGTGCACGACAGAGGTCTTCATCCAAAAGGTTGCGCGTCTTTGCTGTGTCTTTTGGCAGGTAAACACTGAGATTTGGATCAAGAATACCACCCGCAGATTCCTGGGCCTGCAACAAACGCACTCCTGTCTTTTTGTCAATTAATGCTTCTTCATTGCCTCAAACACTGACAGAGATTTCCCAGTGTGAGGATCCTTATATCCAACTGCAGCAGCTTCAGCTGCTAGGAGTTTGTCTCGAATACTTCTGTCCACCACTCCCCTTGAACAAGCCTCTTCTACTGTCAATTCTGATTGGTAATTGGGTCAATGATGTGACCTGTGGCAGCCTGAGCTTCCAGAAGCAAATCTGCACTCTCTGGGGCCACTAGCATCTGTTTCTTTGCCTCTGAAATGGACATTTTTTCAGAGGATCCAACTTTGACACCAGCAATGCATCCGTTTCCTTTCAGAGATAGCTTTTTATCTACGGAAACTTCTGAGACGGTTTTCTCCCCTTTGATCAACTTGTTAAATGTTGGTTTGTCAAGAACACCACATTCTAATAATTGCTGTGCAGAGACTGGCTTGCGAACGCCCTCAAATATCAGTTTGGATGGATCTTTCCTTTCAGTTAGTGGCAGAAGCAGCAAATTAGTTTGTGGCTCTGTTTTACATTTTGTCTTTAAATCACTGTAAGCAGCATCTCTCTGTGTCTGGATCAATAATGCTTGGATTCAAGCTAAGTGCACGACAGAGGTCTTCATCCAAAAGGTTGCGCGTCTTTGCTGTGTCTTTTGGCAGGTAAACACTGAGATTTGGATCAAGAATACCACCCGCAGATTCCTGGGCCTGCAACAAACGCACTCCTGTCTTTTTGTCAATTAATGCCTTCTTCATTGCCTCAAACACTGACAGAGATTTCCCAGTGTGAGGATCCTTATATCCAACTGCAGCAGCTTCGGCTGCTAAGAGTTTATCTTGATCACATCTGTCCACCACTCCCCTTGAACAAGCCTCTTCTACTGTCAATTTCTGATTGGTCATTGGGTCAATGATGTGACCTGTGGCAGCCTGGGCTTCCAGAAGCAAATCTGCACTCTCTGGGGCCATTAGCATCCGTTTCTTTGCCTCTGCAATGGACATTTTTTCTGAAGATCCAATTATGACACCAGCAATGGATCCAGTTCCTTTTAGAGATATCTTTTCATCTAAAGAAACCTCAGGGACAGTTTTCTCCCCTTTGATCAACTTGTTCAATGTTGGTTTGTCAAGGACATCACATTCCAACAATTGTCGAGCAGAGACTGTTTTGCGAACGCCATCAAACATCAGTTTGGAGGGATCTTTCCTCTCAGTTAGTGGCAGAAGCAGTAGATTAGTTTTTGGCTCTGTTTTACATTTTGTCTTTAAATCACTGTAAGTAGCATCCCGCTCTGTGTCTGGATCAATGTAGTGCTTGGGATTCATGTTTAGGGCATGACAGAGCACTTCATCCAAAAGATTGCGCTTCATGGCCGTGTCTTTTGGCAGGAAAACACTGAGATTTGGATCAAGAATACCCCCGGCGGATTCCTGAGCCTGCAACAAACGCACTCCTGTCTTTTTGTCAATTAATGCCTTCTTCATTGCCTCAAACACTGACAGAGATTTTCCAGTGTGAGGATCCGTGAATCCAACAGCAGCAGCTTCTGCTACTAAGAGTTTGTCTTGATCACATCTGTCCACCACTCCCCTTGAACAAGCCTCTTCTACTGTCAATTTCTGATTGGTCATTGGGTCAATGATGTGACCTGTCGCAGCCTGGGCTTCCAGAAGCAAATCTGCACTCTCTGGGGACATAAGCAACTGTTTCTTTGCCTCTGAAACATTCATTTTTCCTAAAGACCCAATTGTGACACCAGCAATGGATCCTGTTCCTTTTAGGGTTATCTTCTTATCCACCGATACCTCTGGAACAGTTTTGTCTCCCTTCATTAGTTCATTCAATGTTGGTTTGTCCAGCACGCCACAATCATATAACTGCTTTGCTGTTACAGGCTTTCTTACACCATCAAAGATCAGTTTTGAAGGATCTAACTTTTCAAGGATAGGCAAAAGTAACAAACCTGTATGTGGTTCTATCTTGCAACTATTTTTCAGTACTTGATAGGTGACCTTTTGCTCTGTTTCAGGGTCAACATAATATTCAGGCTTCTGGTTTAGCACTTGGCAAAGATTTTTATCTAAAAGATTGTGTTTAATAGCTGTGTCTCTTGGTAGGAATACACTAAAATTAGGATCTAGGATTCCTCCAACTGACTCTTGAGCCTGCAGAAATCGTATTCCAGTCTTTTCATCTATAAGTCCCTTTTTCATTGCCTGAAAAACTGAAATAGGTTTGGGTTTAGTAGGATCCTTATAACCAATTGCTGCAGCTTCTGATGCCAATAATCTGTCTAGGTCATTAATGTCCACTACTCCCTTTGAATAAGCCTCTTCAACAGTCAACTTTTTGTTGGCCTTTGGGTCAATGATGTGACCAGTAGCAGCCTGTGCTTCTAGGAGCAAATCTGCGCATTCATCGGACAATAGCATTTGTTTTTTTGCTTCAGTTAGAGACATTTTATGCTGACCGCTCACTATAACACCTGCTATTGGCCCAGTGCCCTTTAAATTAACAGTTTTGTCTTCAGAAACCTCAGGTACTGTTTTCTTTCCATTTTCAAGCGCTTTAAATGTTGGCTTGTCAAGAACATGACAATCAAACAGATGCTTGGCAGTAACAGGTTTCCGAACGCCATCAAACACAAGGTTAGAAGGATCCACTTTCTCAGGAATAGGGAGAAGACAAAGACCAGTATGTGGCTCTATTTTACATCTCCTTTTCATTGCCATATAGGTCACACCTTCTTCAGTTTCTGGATCTAGATAGAGCTCTGGCCTCTGATTCAGAGCATTACACATGCTTTCATCAATGAGGTTACGCTCAGTGGCAATGTCTCTGGGGAGGAACACACTAAGTATAGGATCCAAAATCCCCCCAACAGACTCTTGGGCTTGTAACAGACGCAATGCTGTATTTTTGTCAATTACTCCCTGTTTCATTGCCTGAAACACTGACAGTGGTTTGTTTTTGCCAGGCCCAGCGTATCCAACAGCTGCCGCTTCTGCTGCAAGTAATCTCTCTTTGTCCTCATCATCAATAACTCCTTGATGATATGCTTCTTTCACTGTTAACTTTTGATTGGTTCTTGGGTCAATGATGTGCCCTGTAGCAGCTTGTGCATCGAGAAGTAAGTCGATGCTATCTGGTGGAAGAAGATTTTCTCTTTTGGCTTCAGTAAATGTCAGTTTGCAAAGTGGCTTATTGCTAGACCCTGGGCCTTTTGGACTTTCAATTATCACCCCAGCTATTGGCCCTGTGCCCTTAAGAGGGACTTTTTTCTCAGCAGACACTTCTGGAACTGTTTTATGTCCCTTCAGAAGCTGGTCATATGTTGGTTTGTCTAAAACTCCAGAGTCAAGTAATTGCTTTGCAGTGACTGGCTTGCGGACTCCATCAAAAACCACAGAGGAGGCATCTGGGATTGGAGGCTCTCTAGCTTGCCTTAGCTCAGTCTCCATGGTCTGTCTAGCAATTGTTCCATCTTGCAGTTGTTTTTGGATGACTGATAGTCTACTCTTATTTTTCTCTTCAAGTTCCCTGTGTTCTTTCATCAACCTCTCTATCTCACTTTTTAAGGATTTCTTATCTCTCTCGAGAATATCTTTGTCAGTGTCATACTGCCTTATCAAACTTTGTTTGCTATCACATTGATCCTTCCAAAAAATCAGCTCTCTCTTCCCCCTCTCAATGTCGTCTTGTAGATGTTGCTTGTTACGAAGCTCTAACTCGTGGGAATGTTTCATGTGGTTCACTTCTTCCTGTAGTCTTAGCATTTGCTCTTTGTCAAATTCAAACCGTTGCAATTTCAGCGACAAAGAATCTTTTTCACTTACAATCTCACTGTACTTGGACTGAAGGGACTGTAATGATGTCTGTGTCTGCAGGAAATAAAAAGAACAAGAAGAAACGTTGACAAAGCATTAGTTAATTTATACATTTTACATTAGATTAAATACATTGTTCATTTTGGTCATTGACCCAGTGACATAATATTTATTGACAAATATCACACATATGCTTTTCATCTATGCAAAAAGACCCCCAAAAAGAGAGTTATGCATTTTTACAAGTAGCCTAACTTCCCTGTCCTGTAAGGCATCTCTTTATTTTATTTTTTTTTAATTTAGCAATTTTTTTGTTTAGTTTTAGTACTTAAAATACTCATTTTAAGAGGAATTTTTTTATAAAATAAAATAAAATGCTATTGAAGGCTTCTCAGCATGTGGGACACTGGAGTTCAGTGACATCCCAAAAAGCTTGCAGTACTATGTAAAGCCCTAAACTAAAAATGTTTTACACTAATTACCAATATTATAACAACCGCCAGATTTCTTAGCAAAATGAAATAAATTAAACGCATTACCCCCACTCTTCATCAACAGTACACTTATATTGTAATTGTTGCAATTTTTATTGATGTATTTTCAAAATGGCTTTAGACTTGAATGGTAATACATACATATTTACACCATAAATTTGTAGCCTCTGTTCTTCAGCGAAGGTTCTAATGGTCATACCACAACTTTAGTTTAGAACACGAGGGGATCCATTTTTTTTAGTTAGGGCAACATTTGTATTGGAGTAATTTTCGAGAGGAGATCAAATTTACAAAGTCACTTTCATTTTTCAAATCCTTCTTAAATGGATAGTTTTAAATGTGGGCTTTTTTTGTGCCTGAGGTAACTTATCTTCTGCCTAAGGTTTAATTATCTTTAAATTAATGTCCATAGCTTAAATATTATGTTTACCTATAACTGTTTCTGAATATTTATCTTATTTCAAAGTGGTACTTAACTTTTGTTGAAAGGTCTTAATGAGGTGTATTATTATTATATATTATAGAGCTACGTTGAGAAGATATGTAGGCCTAAATTTAAAATACAGCACAATACTTTGTGCTCTGAAATTTTGGTTGTACCTTAGATAAATGTAACCAATTTTACATCACATTGTACATTTTTGCTTTCACTGTAAATATTTTTTTTTGTGGCTGCAATTTAGAACTTAAAAAAGTCAAAGTCGACAATTATGCAATAAATAAAAAGCAAATATATGTGTGCTTCTATATGCTTCTATGTAATTTTTTGCTGTCTTCCTAAGATGACAAATCAGAAAAACCAATACTACAAATCAATCTGTTAAAATAAGAAACCAAATTTAAATCACTCACTCCCACACTGACTATTTTCAAGAGAATGGGGGAAGAAACACTATTGAATCTGCAACATAAAGCAACCTCAACTATAGAATTTTTTTATGCTACTCTGTAAATTTGCAAACCAGCATTGATACATAAAACTAGTAGATTGGTGTCATTCAAGACAATGTGTCTCAAATAGTTTAAACATTTACATTTTAAATGCATGTTATTGCTGATTTGCAGATTTGGAAAGATTTTAGGAAGTTCAGCTCATATGACAAGATCAACAATAATAAAGCTGAAGCAAAGCAGATAATTGCATTGTCAATGTGACATAATTGATCATTCTGAGAAAGCAGAATCGAAGATCACAAGCATGCATGTTTGCAAAATGTGGAAACTGACCAGACGATATCAGCGGAGATTGTTTGCATGCAAATAAATTACATGCAAGATATTTAAACACACACTGAAGTATGTGTTCAAATCAGTTTGCATCCGATGGGAACTAATGGATTTTGCATGCAAGGAAAGGGTAAGGCTACTTAGTGCTTGCTAAGTAGATATTGCAAAGGAATATCTGCTTATTCTCATCTTGGAAAGATTAGGCTAATCCACGATGAAGAGGCAAACTTCCATGTACCTCTGCGACCTGCTTTTGAATTTTCTCAGCCTCCAGCTTCAGTTTCTCACGTTCAGAGGACAGTTCTGACACCAGGTTGCGGTGTTCGGCATTGCTGCATTCACTGGCTTGCAGCTGTAGTTCCAGTGCAGTAATTTGTGAAGAGAGTTCATCATCAATCCCCTTTTTGGATTTCAAGAGTTCTTCTTTATCCTGCCGTACTGCCCTCAGCTCCTCTTTCATCCTCAGCTCTTCTTTGGTCTGTGTTTCTATCAACTCTTTAAGTCTTTTTAGCTCAGCCGAGTTCTCACTGAGAGCCTTACACTTCTCCTCAATAGTTTTGTAAAGACTCTCGTTTTGCAGGCTTGCCTCCTTTGCTCGAGACTGTTCCTCCAGAAGTTGCTGCTTTATGGTCTTCACCTCAGCACATAGCTGAGTATTTTGGTCTAAGAAGCTCTGATTTAGGCTCAAGGTTTTCTCAAGTTTTTCTTTTAGCTGAATGCACTCCTTTTCACCTCTAGTTTCAGATATGCTGGCCTGTTCTTGGCTCTGGCGCAATACAGTGATGGTGTTTGTGTACTCAGTCATAGTCAAAGTCATCTTTTCTAATTCTGCTTCTACCTGCCTTCTCTTGCCTAACTCTTCTTGATGTGTTTTCCTCAGATTCTCCACCTGACCTTCAAGGCTATCTCTCACACCCTGCAGGTCTTTGATGCGTCCCTGCAACCTGCTCATATTTTGGTCCATCCTGCATCGCTCCTTTTTCTCTCTTTCCAGTTGGAAGCGTGTCTGAAGAAGCTGCTCCTCGCACTCCCTCAGTTGTGTTGCAGCCTCTGAAAATCTGTTCAACTCCATTTGTAGCTGAGCTAAAGACTGCTCAAGAACCACATGTCCCTCCTCTGATGTCTTCCTCCTTCGAGTCTCCTCCTCTAAACTGTGAGTAACATAAACCAGTTGGCCACTCTTCTCCTCTAGGGTCTTTAGGATTTCAGCCAACTCCTCTCTATATTGATTCCTTTCTTCATCTCTCTGCCTGATTAGCAACTCCACTTGACTTTCTAACTCTCTCCTCTGTTGCCCGTCCTGTATCAGTATAGCACGCTGATTACACAATTCCTCCTCTACCTTCTTCTTCTGCTCTTCAGTCTGACTGATAAAAGTTCTAAGCCTCCTGAGTTCATCTTCCAGATTTCTTCTCTCTGTCTCCATTCTTTCATATTGCATCTGCAGTTCAGTTGTATTCTCATCCCTCTGGGCAGAAAGCCTCTGGATGTCTGTGCGACTAATTTGGATCTGGGATTCATAGCTGAGCTTTAAGCTGTTGATCTCCATACTGAAATTGCTCCTTACCTTTGACATCTCTTTTTGAAGATCCATCAACCTTGTTGATTCATTAGCCAGCTTCTGGCGCAGCTGCTCAATCTCATACTCCTTATTTGCTAATCTGTCTTCCACATCCTTCTTGGACCTGCAGACCATGTCCAGCTCTTTCTGCCTCTGGTTCAGTACAGTCTCCCAGTCGTTCTTCTGCCTGTCGTAGCCCTCCTCAGCCAGCTTTGCCTTCCTTCTCTCATCATCAAGTTTGTACTCGAGGCGTTGGACCTCACTTTTGAGCTGAGCCAGCTCACCCTGAGTGGAATCTAAGCTGTCCTTGGTGGCACTGCACTGCATCACAGTTTTTTGCTTTATCGCTTCCACTGACAGCAACTGCTCTTGCGATTGAGACAGCTGGAGCTTGAATTGAGCAACATCCTCTTCCAGTGATTTGTTTTTAGCATTGCTTGCTTCCATTTCTTCTCTCAGAGAGTGAAGTTGATCTCCAAGCATATTTATCTGGGTGTTTCGCATCTGAAAATAGGACAAAGCAAGAATTGCACATTAAACATTTAAATAGGAACTTTTGCTGATATTTTCATAATTTCTGTGCAATAGCAACAACTACAATAAGACCACAATACCTTAAGCTCCTCCATGCTTTTTTCCAACTGTCCCAGGAATTTGTAGTAGTCACCTGACAGAATAAGCAGCTCTGTGTAATGAGTTTGAAGATGTATTGCCTGGAATCAAAGAAAAAAAAAGAGAAGTGACATCTCTATTTTCCATAAGTGAAACCTTATGAGAATAAATAACTACCTCTTTATTAAGATCCATTGATGGTGACTGAAGCATTGTCCTCTTGATGGGGACATTGAGCAATGTTTCCAACCCAGAGGTGTAAGAGGCGAGGTCTGTTTCATAGTCCTGCAAGAAACTCATACATAAGACCAGAAAGCAGACATCTTTCATGATAGGATGCAAACGCGCCTTGCTTACCTTGATAGTATTCACACATGTATGTATGTTTTTCAGTACACTGTCTAGTGTCTCACGCTTTGCCTTAATTTCTGTGTTCAGGACCTTGAAAGACCAATAAAATACAGATATCACTGATGAAAATAGGCGCATTATTGCAAAAAAAAAAAAAAAAAAAAAACATGTCCATTCAAAGCAGTAAAGGCATGAACAGAAGACCTTTTGGTTGGTAATGTGGTCTTTTACTGCTTGAACGTTCTCTATCTTGGTTGCCTGCAGTGCGTCCTGTTTTCTACGCGTGGCCTCTATCCATTCAGTGAAAGAAGTGTAGACTTGCTTGTATTGCTGCAATTGAGGCAGATACAGCTGCAAATCCTGCAGCCTGATTAAAGATGAAATGAAACAAAACTGTTAACATGTGTATATATATATCTTTTATATATCAAAAGTATACTTTGTACAAACTGAAGGAAACAAGCTCTACCTGGTGTCAATCTGTTTCTGGATTCGTCTCCAGCGGTCGGAGAGCAAGCCCACCTGCTCTGTGAACTTTGACAACATCAGGTCACACCTGTGGAAGGAGCCGCCCATCTGACTGTTCCAGTGGCTCGCCTTAGACAGCTCTGACTCCATAGATGTCAGAACATCTTGTTTCTGCATCAGCTCTGCTTTCATATTCTACATGACAACATAACAAGCCAAGTCAAAAATTGCAGCCTTATTGCTGGGCAGTACTGGCTGAAGAAATATTTCTAACAACAAACTTGAAACAAAGACACTTAAGACTTAAGTCAGACAGTCGAGGCTGGTAAAAAATGGTAAATGGACTGAACTTATATGACGCTTTTCCAGTCACTTTGACCACTCAAATCGCTTTACACTAGAATCACATTCACCCATTTGCACTTACAAACGTGCACACATTTATACACCGATATGCAGATCAGTAGGCAATTTGGGGTTAAGTGCCTTGCCCAGAGGCACATCAACATAGGCCTCTGATTCCAGCAGGAGAATGCTGGAATCTCAAGACGACAACTCCTCTGACCACAACCAGCAGGCCATGTGTGTGAAGTGTCTTGCCCAAGATTACAGGATGAACTGCTACCACCATCACCAACATCGCCCCAAACAGTACAAACACTATTGGATAGAGCAAAAAAAAAGTCTATGGATATAAAGCATTGCCAAGAATACCTTCAGGGCCTCAATGTATTCATCAACTTCAGCAGGAGACAGAGATGTGGTCTCTTTTTCTGTCAGTCTTGCTTCATGAACTTTGACAATGTCTTCGGCTCGCGCTACGCTCTCCAGCATGTCCCTTAGAGCCCGCAACCTAAAAAGTGGTAGAGAGCCATAAAATAGTTAATTGCAATCTTCATCTTCTGGTAAACAGAAAACATGGATTCAGTACATACCTGATCTTGAATAACTAGAAAACTTCAAAAATACTTATTAGAAATATTTTCTTGATCTAACTGTGTTAAGATTTGACTAAGTTTATTAAATATTAACACAAAAGGGTTGATATTCTCACAAAATGTTATTTCTTTAAACATTATTTGTTGAGCATACATTTAATAAATCCAACTAATGTTTAAGGTGTCCCACTAAATTCCTGGATAAATAATTTTCTCCCCATTTGAACCATATTAGTGTGTTAAGCCAGTGACTATTTTTCGTGTTGTCATTCATGACAAACTAGATGTCTCTGAGACAGAAGTGACTGTGAAAAAAAAATGTAAATCCTTTTTCAAATGTAAATGTGCAATTTTAATCAGAACCCTATGTATAATATTCTCCCTGCTGTCAATTCACTTTAGAAGATTTCCAATAAATCAATGTATGAAAATGGTTTTTCTAAATATAATTTTCAAGCTATTTATAAGTCAAAATATTGTATAAGTACCTGGAGCCCTGATCTATTGTTTTCATTACACTCAAGTCAGTTATTGGCTCTTTAATATTTCGAAGTTCAAAATATTTTATCCAACTGAGGCCAACCTGTGTTTTTTTTAACGCTTTTTACAATTTTACAAGATGTCTTTTTATAAATGTTAACAGTTAAAGTAGTCCATCAATAACCTAAAAAACGTTTTAGGCTATGAATAGCACATAATGTCATAAATTCTGCATGAAAAAGAAGCTGGTGTGATTGTATAACACATAAATGTTTCATTTATAAAACCTTTATAAGAATCTTAAGGCCTCGTGTCTCACCTAATATGCTTTGGTAAAATGTTTGGGGTGCATTTGTGTTGGGTACCTTAATACATAAGCAGATGAGCTGTTCTCCAGATTTCCCAGTTTCTGGCTCATCACTGCGATCTCATTGCGGAGGAACTGTGCTTTATCTAAATCATTAGTGGTTTCCATCTCCTTCAAGATACGCTCTCTTAAATGTGTATACTCTCCACGCATTGAGGATACATCGTCCTGTATTGACTAAAACAAAAGCAAAAATTTTGACATATGAGGAAACTCAAATTATTTTACATTTGTATATATATATTTCTGCTTCCAGATTCCTATGTCTGTATATTTGTATTTACCTCTAGCTGAATGATCTTCAGACTACAGTCTTTAGCCCCATCTTCTCCAAAGCAAATATGAACATACTGACTGAGTGATCCCTCAGTAGTGTCCATCCTCAGTCTGAGGCCATGCAGCTCAGACAAAAGACGAGATGCCGAGGAGAAGGAGGAGGAGGAGGAAACTTTTCTTCTTTGCTCCGTTTTTGTTACTTTCACCACATCTTTCTTGATCACATGCTCCTGCCTTTTAAGCTCTGCTTGACGTCTTTCTTCTTCCTGCCTTCTGGCCTCCTCCTCTGCTGCAGCTTGTTGCTGTTGTTGTAGTAGTAGTTGTTGCTGTTTTTCTTGCTGCTGCTGTTGTAGTAGTAGTTGTTGCTGTTTTTCTTGCTCCCGTTGTTGTAGTAGTAGTTGTTGCTGTTTTTCTTGCTGCTGCTGTTGTAGTAGTAGTTGTTGCTGTTTTTCTTGCTGCTGCTGTTGTAGTAGAAGAAGTTGCTGTTGTTTTTCTTGCTGCTGTTGTAGTAGAAGTACTTGTTGCTGTCGCTGCTGTTCCTGTTGTTGAAGTAGTACTAGTTGATGTTGTTGGGGTTGTTGTTGTATAAATATCAGCTGTGGCTGAACTTGTTGTTCGGTTATTTGCTGTACTTCGATTTGTTCTTGATGTCCAGCTGTGGGGAAATGTAACATTTATTTGTTTTTCCTTTTGGAATAAAAAGAAAATTTATCTGAACATTTTAAGATATTATGCCTGGTCAAAGTTAAAGTCATTTAGTCTTCTTGCCATTAGAAATACAATATTGAATAGACTCCACAACACAATTTTTACGATACTCACTATATGTGGGCAGCTTTACCACTAGCTTGTCATAGTGGGCCTGGGCCACAGTAAACTGGTTCTCAATGCTCTTCTTGTCTTCATCAACAAAAACCTCTGAGCCATGGCTGCTGATTTTGAACTCCTCATAGAAGGCCTCCAGCTTCTTCATGATTTGACGGTACTCCTCAGGACGCATCTCGGACAACTAAACAACAAACACCGGGGATGATGGGTAATTTAGACATGTGTTGCGACTAAACTTAATTGTAAAAGTTTCATATTTTATAACCTCCAAAACCATACTAACTTTCAACTTTTAAAACACTGTGGTGCGCAAACTTCAATTAGATCCAAATGAAGTAGGGACAAAAATCGTCCAATTTCTTAACCCTCCCACTGTTTTTACGAGACAAGGTCATTTGGCTTTTGACTCTATTGTTTATAACAACTTGTATTTTGAATGACATATGAGTAACACAAAACTGAAACTGTAAGCACAAATTTGTTGAGATGCTCATTTAACACTAAAACATGGTTATATCAGCACATAAACCTAAAGAATATAAGTTCTATTTAATGTATTTCTTTACATTTAATTTAATACCTTAAATTATGTCATATTAGAGAATGAAGATGTCTTCATATTTTATTGTTCAATATTCTTATATTCCTTACCATAGAGATGGTGAGGGAGTTGACGTAATTGATTTCTCTGAGACAGTAGTGCCAGGAGATGAGACTCTTAATGTTGATGAACAGCTGATTCCAGATGGACATGATGGAATCAAAATACTGCTCGTTCCTTTATGTAACATAGGAACGAAAGCAAACACGTTGAACATTTCTTTCAAAGTCTAAAAATATTATAAAAGAGCACACCATTTCTGTTTCTTACTTTTTGGCAACGCTGATGCTCAGTGGATTAGGAGGTGGTACAATCAGGCACACAGAGGGAATCAACATGTCAATCCCTCCTGGACCGGTTACCAGCCATTTACTGCGCTGACTGTTGTCTTTCAGGATGGCCTCATTGTCTTTAAGGATAGCTTTCTGTAGGAATGAACAAAAAAATATATTTTATGGTGAAATAAGAAATATGTTTCTTTTTTTCTGCAAAATAAACAAATAAAACACAAATGTCACTTCAAGTCCTGACATGAAACTCCCTGGTTTTTATTTGTTACCCTTGTATACTATCAAATCAAGCATCATGAAATTGACCTGGTCTTCTCTGAAGTCAGTCAGAGCCTTCACGATGATGCCAGGGCTGTTCCTCTCCTCTGGGTTTCGGGGTTTCAACCTCACAATACTTTTTGACTTGACAGTCAAGTGTTTCACCTGCCGCTTGTTGTCCAAAATGTTTTCCTTCTCCCTCTGTAATGAATAAGTAATTATGAATCAAAAATAGAATGAAAAAACAGAGTTGCATTTTCCTTTCACAATTGTGAGTTCTCTGAGCTCCTTCTTGAAGACTACGAATCCTCTAAATTGAATTGCACAACAATGCGACTTTAAATATAGCTTCATTCACAATAGAAAATAAATGTACCTCCAGGCCTTTCAGGAGCTTCTGAAGGTCTTCCAGCGGGGTGTTCTTGTCACAAATGTACTCCTTTCGGATTGTCTCATGTTCCTTTTGCAAATTCTTGTATGTGTCATTAGCCTCTCTGAAGAACTTTTAAAAAAACATGATACTGGATAAGAATCAGGAAAGCACAATCTGTGATAAAGCAAATAGTGGAGTATGCCATTGTCACCCCTGAGCCATCAAGGAGCCAAGTGTGAAGTTGGTGATGTTGAGGCCAACATTTCATAATATCCAATTCAGCTACAGTCACCAGTTTCAAAATGACTTCACTTTTCTTAGCTTCCGTTATCACACGCCACAATTAGATAGGTGGAAGCTAAGGCATTTATTTCCAAGGTATGTGGAGTCCTATTGACTTTAAAATTCTTTAAAAAATGTTTTAAAACTTCATTCATAATCTTCTAGCCTTTAGATACTGAAATTTTAATTGCAGTAGTTGAACTTGTTTACAAGATTTTCTATTTTCTATTTATGCCATTTAATGAACACTGATTATAGATGAAAGTATTGAACAAAACTGTTAACTTTTGGACTGTGAAGACCTGATATTGCAAAGATGCAGTTGATTGTTAGTCAAGGTATGTCTGTTACCTGGCTGTATGCTGCATTCTCCTTCAGATGTGTATCAATGCATTTTGTTATTTGAAGAAGCCAGCTCCACTGAGTTTGCAAAGTGTCCATGTAAGCCTGACAAAAAAAAAATCGTAAAGACAGCATATTAAAAATTGCATCAATGTAAAAACAACAACAAAAAAACTCATGAGAAAAAAAAGTCATTTGGTGATTTCTATAAGAGGGTCACTGTTTCCAAACCTCAATCTTGTCAGATCCTGGGTGGTTGTCTTTCAGTAGCGTTTTCACTTTCGCCTTAAGTTTATGCAGGTCCTTCTCTTTCACCTCCAAGGCACTCATCAGTTTCTGTTACATAAGGAGAAGTTTTGAAACCATAAATCACACTGAAAAACACCAAGATGCAGTTCAGAGGAAAGCTTTGTGGTTGTTGCTTAAGTGAAAAATGAGTGATGACAAAATCTAATCTGCTGGAGATGATTTCTTCCTTACGAAGAGCAAATTAAACTCATAAAAAACATCAGGAGCTCTTTAGGCTCATAGAATTTGCCAAGAATGTTAATCTCGTAATTTGAGGTTCTTTAGCACAGAAACAAAAATATTGCTGTTGATGGTTTCACTAACCGAGTAGCTCTCCTGTTTCTTGGGGATGTACTGTTCTATATTTTTGTCCCCCCAATCAAACATCAGTTCCTCTTCCTCTTTACCGTTCACCCAAATGATCTCATTGGTTATCTGGTGAAGTATTTGGATCAGCTCTTGCAGCTGCTCAGTCCACAAATTTGACATTTTCTAAGACAGAAGAAGAGAGTAAGTATATAAAAAAATGCAACATAATTAAAAAAAATAATAAAAATCATGCATAATAGCTAATAAGGTTTGAGATTCTTTCACCTGTAAATTCTCCCACTCCTGCTCCAGGGCATGCTGGCTGGCTTTGTCTCGACTCTTTTTCTAAGAGATGACAATAAATCAGTTAAGCTTCATTAACATAACCTATCAAAATAAAACAAAAACATAAAATCCTCACCTCTCAAAAGATTTTTCCAACAAATAGAAATTAAAAAGTAAATATTCTGAGTGTGTGCATAGAATTGTATAGCAACTACACAGGTTATTACAACAACATCATTAATAATAACAAAATCCCTTTTTATCTGAGCCCCATCTAAGTGACTGAATGAGAAAACAGAACTCACCAGGTCTTCGCGGGCTCGGATCATCTCAGGCGCCCCCTGCAGGGACGCATGAAACCTCTGGTGGTTAATGAGCTGCTGTTCAATGGATGGAGGGTCGTCGGCCAAAGCAGTTGTTTCAATCAAACGCTGAAATAGAATATAAAGAATATATATTATTGCGACCTTGGAGTGAAAATCAAATATGCTCACGAGTCTCAAAAAATGATTAATAACAGACTTTGAATAAAGTTGTCTGAATGTCTGAACCTACACTTATTTATCTGAATGTTTCCAAATGTTAAATCAGTAATCTATTAGGGAAATTATCATCTAATTTTGAACTAATTTATTTGATTAATAGTTCAATCTAAACAGCTCGATTTTGAGACAACTAAATAAATTATTTTTGAAAAATCATATTAGAAAAAAAATACAATCCTTATTCATGGATGAAGCTGAATAACATTTTTTTTAGTAAACAAGTTTGTTTAAAGTACTATTAAGTACAACTGATTATATGACTTGCAGACAAGATTTTTTGGGGATAAATCTCAACTTTAGCTTTAACCAATTCTGCTCACAAAGACATTTGTAAGGAAGGTAAAGGTGGTACTTTTACGTTTTGCCTATTTTTCTTTCTGTATGACACCCTTTTTTTCTCAGTGGAAGTATTGCAGTATTGCTTTAGCAAGCTATAGCATCTGTAAGATATTAATAATTCATTTATTTGAATAGTTTACTTAGGTAAGTAATTTAAGTTGTCTGTAAACAACTTAAATCCTTCTCAGGTGCTGGAGACTTTGGTTTGGTTTGAGGTTTTTGGTTTTGGCTCAGGTATAAAGCTTTATGTGTGTCTGAGTTTGTTCCTGCCTTTTGCTGATGGATCCAAGCAATAGCATCATGGAAGCTCCTTCCAGCCTCTTCCCAGCCTCCAGAGCTCTTTCTGGTGCTCCTCCTCCTCAGAGAGGTGCCAGATATGGACCTATGGACCCCTCTCAGCTGGTCTTGGTAGTACTCCACGCTGCAAAATGAGAAGAAAGCAGCGATGCATTTGCATTGAGCTTTGGACAGAACATTGCAGACGTGATTAAAGGTGAAGTAGTTTTACCTCCTGACTACATTGTCACTGGGTTGTCCCATTTGATTCAACTCCATTGCAAAGACTTTTAACCTCTCAATAGCATCTTTTGCCATTATCATGTAGTCCTCTGCATCACCAGAGCCCTGCATGAAAGGTAAAACATATATATGCTTTACGTCACAGTTCACAAAGCTGATGTTGACATGAAGAAACTTTTCTTTTACTGAAACAAAAACAAAAATATTTCATGGAGTCAAGCTTTAGTAAACAACCAATTTAAGAATTTAGACTCAAAATTGTTTATCCCCATAACTATCATCAGACACTACGAATGAGCTTGTTAGGCAGAACCAGCTGAGAGCAAAAAAAGCCCTTTCATTGCCTGAATAATTTCTGTTGGAGCATCCATCGACTTTAAACCACAAAACATTTCTGTCATTCTTTTAAAGCCAACATAAAACATACTGCAACAATACACTCTCTTCTTTCATCAACTAAGTTTGAAAAAGATCTGAAACTCAATATAACATTTCTGTACCTACCTAAGCAGGAAAAGAAAAAGTAAAGAGCAGAAAAATCATCACTCACAGCCTGAATGGCGTCTTCGGCATTCTGCAGGTATTCGTTGCAGCGAGCCTGCAGCTGCATGGCTTTTGACTGGGTGCTCATGTAGCCACTGCAGAGGAAATTCATAAATATCATCTATGTAATCAGCCTCAGTTAATGCATTTCAAGCAGATTCAGGTAACATGACTTAAACATCCTCTGAAAGTACTGGTCAACTTATAATCCCCTGAGGCAATTAAAAACTTCTATTAGCATAAAATCCTTGAACTGCTCAGTTTTAAGTTTTATTTCATCATTTGTATCTGTATAATCTCAACTTGTTTTTTGTTACTGATCAGTTAGAAGTTGGTAATAGCCCTCTGAAACTGCATTTGGACACTCTTTACTGTTTTCTGTGCTCGACATTTCTAATAGTTCACAGCTCTAGAAAATAAATAAATGATGTGGGTCAATTATTGGCTAAACCACACATAAAACTCACACTTTAGATTGCAATGCTGCCTTCCAACGTTAAGCTCATCACCAAAACTAGCTCATTAAAATACAAGTAAAAACATGCAAGACGCTGGTAGACATTTGAAAATGGTCCAGAACTGCTGTATTTTCTTTATTGGTTATTGAGGTAGGAATAATTGCTGTTTAATGTGCTTCTTTTAAATAAAAGATTAATTGAGTAGAAGAAAAAAAAAAACGTTTGAGTATATGCAAGCCACACCACCAAAAATAGAAAGCAGAAAGGAATAATCTTTGAGGATCTCAAAGCTATATGTAAATATAAACACTGATCAAAAGAAAACATTTATATCACTTTCCATTTTTCTCAAGTCTAGGGTTCATTTGTTTAAATTTTCATTTCTTTTACTTTCTAGGGAAGTGCATGAAAGTGTGTGTGGAGAGGGATTAATGTAAGCACTTTTCTCAACTTTATGCTTCAAATGTTTTTTTTTTTTTTTTTTTTTTTTTACAATATTAATTCAGTTTGAATGACAATAATTTCCAATGTAAATTTTCCAGGGTAATTAATTATTTTAACTTCAACAGTATGCCTTGCATATATGATTTATTTCTCCTTTGGTTACAAGTTGCTTTTAATAACAGCCACACTTTCTTGTAACATTTTGAAGTAGTTTTGATCCAGCAGGTTTTCTCTAAACCAGAGAAGCTTTTTCACTTATTTTCAAGTCCTGACAAATTTCAGATACATTTTTATCTGTTTGTTGATGTACTTATTTTTAACTGGTATCTTTTAAGGCATAATAGGAATATATACTTAACCATTTCACATCAGTATGTTTCTTTTGATGTGTGAGTATTTTGAACATTCATCAAATTGCTAATATAATTTAATTTAAATGTTATACAGGTTTTTCATAAGTCCTATTTAAACCTGTTAAGTTTAAGGAACATCTTGCTGGTAGATATGGTTAATTGGAGTCAGATAAACTTTCCTCTTATATAAAATAAACCTTCAACCATAATAAGACTAAAGACCAATCAGCACATTCAGGTCACGAACATTAATAGATGCATTTGCATTTTTCATGCAAACCATTCAGGACAGATAATAGTTTGAACAAACAAGGCAACAAAGCAATTATGTTTCTTTTTTCAAAACCCATTGAAAAGTCCCCCATTTTACACAAACAGCTTCTGAAGAACTCTAAAGATCTCCAGGCTTTCTTTTTGTGGGTGTATCCAAACAGTTGCTGGGTGTCAGTAAAAATTGGTAGAAAGTAAATACATTTTCAAATATATAAAATGTTTCTAAGAAAAAATCATATGAAGATGGTCCCTTAAGCAGATGACTTAATCTACAGTACACTGTTTATTACACAGTCTCCTATCACATCAGTTATCTGCCATTCATAATTTTATATGCAAAGGAAATTTGCATATTTATATCTCCCACAAAACAATCTAAATTATACACATTTCACCTACTGGTTCTTAATACAGTGAAATACTAGTTTGAAAATTGCAGCAGCAAAAAACTTCAACAAAAGGCATTCATTTCTTCTAGAAAGCTCTCTACCATTAAAAGTCACTACCCGTCTTTTTGTAAAGCAGAGCAGTGGCAGATTTACTCTGTGGGGTTTTTTGGAGGCTGTGAACCTGAAGTGTCTGGAATGAAGAATGTTGAAGATGTTGCAATTGAGTGAGCCCAAAAGTTCAGTGCAGACCATAAATCAAGTGTCCCTGGAGGCAAAATGGAGCTGGTGTGCAAAGAAACCTTAGAAGTGACAGTAGATCACATTTGAGAGGGATGAAGTGTTTATGGCAGCAGGTTTGTTTCATTATCTGGGTAGGGGAGTATTTCAGCAGATATAAAATAAAATGATTATGAGAACTTTTAAAGTACTTGGACCTGTAGTCTTAAAGAACCAGTATAAGAATTGCTCACATTAGAACCAAGACATCAAAAAAATATGACACTGAATTATAAAATCTTTTAAATTCAGATTTGTCAGTAATTATTATTTTAGTTTTGTTCAGTCCAGGATTTGCAGCGGGTATAAGACCTTTAATATTTAATGCCTGCTACTTTTTCACTCTGAGTAATGAGAGAAGTTAACTGCGCAACAGAGCAACCAGGAAAATAAATAAATAAATAAATGTTGGCACCTCATTCCACCCATCGTGGCGCTCCCCATGGTGTTGCTCATCATCCTGCTACCCTTCGACATCGTTGCCCTCGAAAACGTCGCCGATCTATTAAATCCTTCCACCATGGGTTCGACTCCATTACCGCCTCCGTGCGCCACATCGCTCCGCGCGTAATGGTAGGTCATCCCGCCGGCGAGGTTGCTCCTCGAGTTGGCCCTTCGGACCGAGTTGAGCGCCTGGTTTGATCCGGAAAAGCTCATTGTGATATGGAAAGAGCAGCCAGGGAGCCAGACACAGCGCACAGCAGAGCCGTGCCGTCTCCACCCGTCCTCCTCCGGTCCCTCTGCTGCGCACTGCGAGCGGCGCGCTGCGGAGGTGCGTTTTAGGGGGTGGAGGGCCACACCTCTGTGTCTCCAATGTCCTCAAAAGTTTTTATGTCCCCGTTGCCACGCCCTTCAAAACAGGGCTGAAGGCAGAAAATGTGTGCGTTTTGTTGTAGGCCCTATTCCTAGTTTTATGAAGACCTTTGACTCTCAGAATATCCAATATTTTAAGATTAAGTTCAGAAAAGTGGATTTTAACCGCTAAATGGTAAATCAGGCGTTTTGGAGAAATGCTGTAACAGCAAAGACTTGTTTTCCAAACGTAGTCTTTGCGTTTGTAATTTGTACAGAAGCTTTTACAAATTTGTAAAAGCTTCTGTAAGTCTTTTTAAATTAACTTAAGGTGCCTTGTTTATTAATCATTTTAATTTTTTTTTATTTGTAGGATTGCCAACTTATACTCACAGTGTAGAGGGCACAAACTACGTGGAAAAACTGATTCTTAATTTTTATATTTAAAAAGTCTAACAATTCAAACTTCACTCAGATTTTTCTCTGCAGACCATTAAAATGTAGGTTTGCTTTCACCTTAGAGGACTGGTTAGTCTTATATTTCTGATAAATTATGACTGGAGTCCTAACAAAAACTTAAAAAAAAAAGGAAATATTTTTACTATGAATGAAGTGTCAGATACACATCAGTCTGAGTGGAGGAGAATGAAAAAAGCAACATGCATTGCAAAGGGAGTGTGCAGTAGCTTGTTTTTTGCAGCAACATTTATGCAGATGTGCAGAAATCAGTACAGTCCAATTGGTAGAGCCTTTGATTTTCAGGGAAAAACATTAGGCTGTTTTGCTGCAGGAAATTTCAGCCAAGCTCTCTGTGGTCTCCAGTGAGAGTCTACAGCACAGATTTCTCCCAGCCTTAAATATATAATAGATTTTAAACCATGGCATCTATAAAGACATAAAGATGTAAATCTTCCTATTGCAGTGATATCTTAAGGCTTTTGAACCATTTACAGTCTGTTAGAATGTCTTCAGGAATTCAGTTTTTTTCTCCTCAGATGAACAAATCTGCATAAATGTTGTAATTGCTTACATGCTTTCACTGCTGAGGAACTGAAACTTTTTTATTTTTTAATAAGTCAGTGGGTTTTCCAGAGAACTTTTAATTTTATTAGCTGTGTGTGCAGAGCAGCAATACTTCTGCAGGAGGAGGAGTGAGATTCCAGTTTAAATGACAACACTCAAAACAAAGAACTGCAGGGCCTCTGAGGGTTCAGGGGAGGACAACGGAAACACTTTTTTTTTTAAACCTTTTAGAAACATGAGTAAAGATGTTTTATTTATTTTCAAATGAGCTACTTGGCTTCCTCTCATGGCTCTTAAGGACTGTGCACTTAGTACTTAAAGATATGAAAACAAAAAGATTACTTATGGCAATATATCATACAATTTGATCCAAACTGTAAATTCTTGCTGCACTACAACAGACAAGCTCTTGTTTGTGCAAGCATCTGAAAATCTGGACTCTCGTTGTGGTCTGAAACAGAATCGCTCTGATTGACTGCAGAAATGCTTGCAGAGCTTCAAGGCAAACTGCTGAAAGGACGAGTGATAAATGAACTCACTAACGCCTGGAGCCAGAAGGAGGAACTCACAGAAAAACAAGTTTGACAGCCAATTAGAATTGACAGCTCTGTTTTCTTTTGCCAAAATACTCTAAATCATATGGTTTGACCTTAGAGAACTATCTCTTTCTCTTGTGGACAGACTTAGGCCACTGTTTCCCCACAACCCACTGTTTCTAAACTGGACTTTTTTTGGTTATGCACAGACTCACTTTCTTCAGGCGAACCTTTTAAAAAGTTTCAGAAAAAGACAAAGTGTCTTTTTTTGGGCTAACTTCATTATTGGGTGTACAGTAGAGTCATTGTATGCCTGCAGGTGGTGCGACCCTCCTACAAAGGCTGAAATGCACCTACATAATAGAGACTTTCTGGGAGGCACATTGCTGAAACATTACTCAGGTTTAACACCAGACTCCAGAGTCCTTTATTGTGTTAAAGCAGTTCACACACTAATTCAAGTTCAGAACAGAAAGAGTCAGACTGACCAGAATGAGACTGGAAACTACAAATGTAAAAATTTAAACCAAAAAACACAACTTTAAATGTAAGAAAACAGAGATTAAAGCAGGGTTTTAAAAATATTCTAAGCATTAAGGATCCCATTGAGCACAACTGACACTGAAAATAACATATCAAAGCTACAAACCTAACAAAACATTTCAGTCTGTCTATTAGACTGACATTGTCTCAGTCTAATGGACAGACTGAAACAATGGGCCTGTTGTAACATTGAATGAGTTACAGAGATTTACAGGTGTGGGAATCAGTTGATGGGAAAATGCAATGGTCATAAATATATTGTCACTGCTAAAAGTAAGTTACAAAAAGTCTCATCGGCAGGTTTGCCAAGAGTTATTTAGGACGGGGATAAAAGAGCTATGACTAGATGAGAACAAGATCAAACATTTCAGCGGAGATGCAAAATGAACACGACCCTGAACTCTTCACCCCTACAGTGAAACAAGGTGGCGGAGGCATAATGGAGGCATAATGCTGTTTTTTTCAGCAAGGAGAAAGAAGCTGGTTGTAAATCTAATCAGTGGAAAATCAGTTTTCACAAATGTTCAATTAAATCAGTCTGAATTTGAGGTGTTTTGCATAGAAGAGAAGGCAAAAATGTAAGTCTGTAGATGTGGATTAAACATACCAACAAAGACTTGCAGCCGTAATTGATAAATCGAGAGCCTCGCCTTTTGGCACAGCTCTCTCTCCTCTATGGTTGTTGGGCACAGAGCCATCATCACTGCAGATGCAGCAGCAATCCTCCTATCGAGTCACGGAAACTTCTGGTTTGTAACGTGACAAACTGTGAAAATGTTCATGGTGGAGAAAGATCTTTTAACACAATGAACAGAGCTCTGGAGAAATTGCTGAAAAAAGAACTGAAACACATTGAGATGCTGTCTTTATTGTGAAAACAGAAATAGGATACTATTATGGAATAGCACAACTAAAAGATCTAAAAATACTTCAAAAATCCAGGGGTTCAAATTCAAGAGTTTCGAATTGGTTCAAAATCAGCCAGAAACCATTTAGAAACATTATATCTGTCTGAACCTGATCCTTAATGCACCTTCATTTATTTTCCCCACAGATCATTGCTTTAGCTTGCCTGCACCTTGGTTTTATTCAAATCTGCAGCAAATGAGGAATGTGGCATGCATGTGTTTGTGAGTGTGTGTCGTTTGTACTCGTCCAAGGGAGAAAGTCTAAGAAGCAGAAATGGAAAACTACAGATAACTGAATGTCTTTTACAATTATTTCAACTGACTTCAAACTTCTGTTTTCTCCTGTTTTTAGGTCTAATTAGAGACTATGGAGATGACTTACTGCTGAAGAATTTTTTTGTGATATGGCAACAAAGGTGGCTGTTTGAACTTTTGGAGCTTGTATGAGTCCAAGTTTCTGTGGGTGATTCATAAAGGTAAAAAACTACTCCAGTACTTTCCTCTGTGAGAAGAAGTCTCACATAACTATCATGTTATTCCCCCCGGCATATGTTGATCAGGAGCACGCCCTTGCCTGCACGACTGACACATACTTTCGTTAGGGCACCATTCCAGTAACGGATTTTCTGTTCTGTTAAAATTTTAACAAAATGAGATATAAAGTGTTTAAATGAATAGAATTTTGCACATATAAAGAGTTAGAGCAGTTCAAGGAGTATTTCTTTCCACCCTCCTTTATTAACGTTTGTTCTGCAGACAGGACTCGACTTGTAAACTTGGATTTTGTCCAAAGATTTCCAGAGTATTGTGAGCCATTAAAATTCTATTTTAGTTGTGACATAATATTCGTTACAGCACTGAAATTAAATAAACAACTGGTTGATGAGGTTTATGTATGTTTTACCAATTTATGAAAAATTCAATGAAAGTGATATTTCACATGATCTATTTTCATGTACCTAGCTTTGTGCTTAAAAAATATACATTACAAGATTATGTTTTGATTTTTCCTCTGTGTTGGATTTCAAAGCGAAACCTGCATTTGTTTTAAAGTAAAGAGCAGTTCTTCTTTCTTTCTGTCTTGCATTCAGTTTTTCAGAGCAGCAGAATCATCATCATTTTTCTATGCTTTGATTCTGAATTCAGTTTGACTATATTTGTTCATTTATTTCCATTTAATAGGAAGAGAAAACACATGCATGGAATCAATCTGGGAAAGTTACAAGGGCTGCAGCTTTTGTATGTCGTGCACTTTCTCTACCACTGAGTCATGTGGTGGTTCAGTGGTCATTTTGTATATGACATTTTGAATAATTAATAATGGATTGGTTAAATGTGCACAACACTTAAAGAATGTGCATTCTTTAAAAAATATATTCATTGTCCTGATGAATTTAGATTTAATGCAATCTCTTAATTTTACCAACATGATTGGAAGTCAGAGTCACTGTTTGGACAATGCATGTTATCTGTTTTAGGAATCTCAAGATCTAAAGGGAAGGAGGCCTTAAATAAACTGTCAAGACATCAGTGGTAATGGTCAAATCGCTTCTCAGCAATTATAAGTGTTTGATCATAATGAATATTTCAGTTTTTAAAAGCTTGCAAACTCACTGCGCCAGATTTATTCGGGCAAGCATGTTTGCAAAGAGAGATCCAAAATTAAACTGAGAATTTTGGATAAGTTTAGCAAAGGCAGCAATAATTGTGGCTGAATGAGCAATTTCTCTGTTCAGGAAAGAGAAAACAAGATAAATTCTTCATGAGATCAAATATATACATTTTTTAATTTTGATAAGAAGCAAAGTTTCTCATAATTCAAAGACAGAATTGGAGAATGTGGCAGAAATACAATTATTTAATGGACTAATTAAATCTTGTATTAACCGTGACATTTTATAACCTTCTTCTGACTGATACCTTTGTACAATAAGATTATTTGGACTTTTCTCCCAATCACGTCTACAGGATCTACACTGTAGATT